ATCCTGTTTACAACACTCATGCCCTTTGATTCAAAAATAACCTTCAAGCGTTTCTCTTGGTAACTGTGGCGTTTGTTTTAACTGTTTCGTGGAGCAAGTGCATTTTGTGCACACTTTTTTGTAGGACAAAAAACTAGTAATTATCTTACTAGTAATTTTTGAGAGATTATTCCTCATTTTAAAACATCATAAATTCAACAGCTAACACTCTAGCATCAATAGCTAACCCAACCCTGAACTTATGGACATGATAATAAGTAGACTGATAGCAGGAATTGGAATAACGTGCAGGAATAAAGAAAACAGATCCTTGAACCTGAAGTTTCAAATAGCAGGCACAAAAGCCAAATCAAAACCTGTGGAAGGATGGGCAAGGCTTTTGCCATGAAATCTTCAGACATGAAGCTCGATGAGAACTAAATTCTGGATTGTTGACATCCACCTTTGATTTTGTAACATGCATGTACCTTAAGGCTTAAGCATCTCACTTGCTCCATATTTCTAAATGATACTTGCTTGACTGAAAACAAAACCACAAGGCCCCAACTCTCCTAGACACACAGGTTCCCAGCTCCTAGGAATTTGACTTCCAGTGACTTGGGGAGTTTACGTCTAAATGCCTTTGAAGGTCTGAGACTATTTCCATCCCTAGCAAATGAGAGCTAAAGTGAAATAATACAACAAAGAACAAGAGGAGGATTCCAAACTAATGATACTAAGAAGGTTTCAGGTTAACCTGATACAGGGATGAATTTACAGAGAGACTTTTTCTCAAAAGATGATTTACAGCTGAGCACCTGGAGAAGATAGTTTGCACCTGGCACAGCTGAAGAGCTTTATTACTAATAAGAAGTAAAGCAAGAAGCATGGAGAAGATTTATGTAATATTCACACTCAGAGTCAGCACTCTGGAAAAAGGAAATCAGATAAAATATAATGATGGCTAAAGCAGGCAGAAGTGAAAAAAAAAATCAATATTAATATTAGCAAAAAAAGTGTGAAATTAGTAAGAGGACTGTGCTCAGTTCCATCTTGGGAACTGAGAGCTGTCAAGAAGAAAGAAGGGATATACTTGGCAACATAAGGGATATAAAAGGCAACGTTGCCCACGGAGTGGGCAGCAGTGTGGCAGACTTGGTCTGATGCTGCAGATGCTGTAAGGGCAGAACAAGGGGGTTGTGATCACTATTGCAACAGTATTTCTACAAGCATGCACTGTTCAGAAGAGATCAAAGTGTGGGATTAACTCAAGGATCTGTTTTTTGCTTCAGGCCCACAGATCTGACTTTCAGTACACTTCCCTCCTTAAGATGTAAGGCCTCAGAGCAGAACAGACAGCTTCGCACGGAGGCTGTGTTACTGCTGCTGAAGCAACATCCTTCAGCCAGCCACCCACGGAGGGAGGGAATGGCAGAGCTGAAACCTCACTAGCCAGGTGTGTTAAGACACTGCTGCAAGGCAGGCCCACTCTGTGACTGAGGAGGAGAGAACGTTTGTGATGACACGTACATAGGTGACCCTGCATCTGTTGCTGACCTCTGCACCCCCCAGCACTGCCACTGGGACAGGGTTGCTGCAGAACAGGCTGTCTGGTCAGGGACTGCTGGGGGGCTGCCAGGATGTTCAGTATCACAGCTAGGAACAGCTCCATGGCTCTACTTGCATCACCACTCTTCTTTGGGGAGCATTTCTCCTTTTGCTGACCTCCTGCCTGCCCTAGTGTACAGTTCAGGATGCTGGTTTTCACCTCCAAAACTCTGTTGGAGCTGGTCCCAGCACTACAGTGAGTTATGTGGCTGCCAATAGGATATTGCTCTACAACAGCAAGTGCCAATGGAGGGGCCCTGGCTCCTCAGGAATCATGCTCTGCACAGCCTGCCAGCACATCTCTTCTAATTTTCTGCTTAAACTTGTCCTCTTGTAAGCAGTCCCAACTCTGATTTTCATGCATACTCCTATGCCACCAATCATCCTTCTCATAATACCACCCCAGTGGTGCTCATGCACTCACCTTCGTTCTCCTTCTCAGCTCTGCTGCTTGGTGCCCAACCTAGTAAAGGACATGGCCGACTGAAATCTGTGGAAATACTTCCCTTACCTCCAGTGGGCTTTAGAATCAGCCTGCCATAATGCTAAAGAGGGTCACCAGCAGCCCATTTGAAGCAAGGAAAAATGGTCCCATTGCCTGAAGTGGGAAGCAGAGTGCACTTCAAGAGGCTGTCTGATCTTCCCTCGTTTGCTGTGTGAACCTTCACGACTGGTTCTTCTGTCCTGCTGTAACCACTTTTGAGGGGCAGATCCAGCCTGTCCCCCTGAGGTGCAGGTCTTTGTGTGCTTGTGGTTTGTCCTGAGGTGCAGGTGTTTGTGTGGCACTGAGTGGAGCAGAAGGAGAGCTTGGGGGCTGGAGTTGTCTCTCTGGCAAAAAGCATGCCTTGCGTGAGCTCTGTAGTTTAGACAATTGATCCTAAATGTGGAAACCATGTTCTTTTAGTAGATAGAGTGTGTGAATGCACAGTGCCCATAACAGTGGCTTCAAGTCTAACCTATAAATATCGTTAAATACTACAGCTGTAATTTATATTAACCAAGGGATGAGCTATTGTTTCACAGGAAAATGTTCAGAATATTTGGCAGATGTAGGGCTTGGATGACATCAGTGCTGACTCTCAAAATCAAACTGCCACCTTGTGGTATGGTGAGGGAGAATTCTGCAGGAAATCACAAAGACAACAAAAATACAGATACACAGTAAAAACCGATCCCTTTGCTCCCCCCTACGATTTACAGTGTTTATGTATTCTTGAATATGTTTTGATTATACTTCAGGCAATCTGTTGCTGATTGTTTATCAATTTAAAACATAAAACCATTTCCTCATTCTTATGTGTAATAGTACTGAAACAACCAGAACGCTCATGAGTACTTTCTGCAAGATTAGACCCAAATGCTGCTTACAGAAAAACACTAAGGGCTAAACATATCTACAATTCTTTCCTTTCTCTCTTTTGAACTTAATAATATTAAGAAAAATTCCTGTGAGAGTCAGAGCAGGGCCACGCAAATTGCTGAAGGTGAGCAAGTTGAGGTGCTGTTCTTTCCTGTGCGTGCTCTTGGACTATGATGGATGTAAGGTAATTTTAATCAACTTTCTCTTTCACTGTGGGCAAAGCCATCACAAATTACTTCACCTTCCTTGTCAGCCAAGAGCAAGCACAATGGATCAGCAGATGTGCAGTAATCTGTTACAGCACCGTGCTTGTGCATCTCAACCTTCAAGCAGCAGACCAGCATGTGAGGTACCGGCATGATCCTTTCAGCTAGATATTCTGTCACACAGTACTATTTATGGAAGATGATAGATAAAAAGCTAGTCCTTTTCAAATCGAAAGTGTAGCTGAGGTGAACAATTGATTACAGCCACGTATCAGTTCTTTGTGCATCTATGACTTTCCAGGAATATAGTGGTTTAAAAAAAAAAAAAGTTGCAGGTACCAAGAAGCCCGTAACATCTGATGTTCACATCTTGTTCCTCCTCTCATACCAGACAAGCATCAAAATTTTTTTAAAGAAGTGGAGGCATCCACTACTGAAAGAAACAAATTAAGAGGAAGGCAATCCTGCAGGAGGGAATGTAAAGGTATGGAGATTCTGACTCTCCTCTTAAGACCCAGATGAGCTGCTTGGGACCTACAGCACCTGTTTTCCTTCCCACTGCATCTTTAGATTGTGCACAACATCAGGGAATTAGTGTTTAAAAATATTCTTCATCTAAAAGTACATAGAAGGAACTCACAAATTTCCCAGTTCTCCACAAACTGCTGTCCTGTAACACCTTTGTTGAGCAATGGTTCTAGGAGAGGTGAGCATTCCCATGGACAGGGGTCCTGTGGGTCCGTACAGGAATCCTGAGGATTCTGGCCTCCAAAAACCCTACGAGAATAGCAGCTGCTCTGACTTCTACTGCCATGTGGCTCACATTTCTCCATTGGTCCACTTGGCAGCCAAATTCACAGGAAGGATAAACATGAAGCTTTCTTTATAATGGTTGTGGTGGTGTCCACTTTGCTGGGTGATATAAATCATGGGTAAATAGTCTCCTTCTACACGTGGTCTCATCCAGCAGCCCAAGTGGGTGCAGGTGTGATGCATGGTAGCAGCTCATGGTAGCCACATGTGGGTTTGCATCACTGCTGTCAATACAGGGACAGGGGACTGGCAAAGACAGCAGGAAAAGGCAGGGAAGGGGCAGTGTTCAGAGGGGGATGGGGTTGTGAGGGAAAAGGTCTGAATTTAGATGAAGGGTGAGCAGGGGAAGGAAAAGAGCCTATGGACCCATGCAGCCTCCTGTGCTTGCATCTGAGTTAACTCACACATAAGCCCCCCGTGGTGTGTGAGATCCTGCACCTCATAACATGTCTGTACAGCTCTGCAGCCCCCTCATCCCAGCATTTCTCCTTACACTGTTTGTTACCCCTAAAACCAGCACCAGCATGCAGAATGCTGTCCATAACAGTGAGTTATCTCCCACGGGAAGAGTGCCTTGGGGATTTTTTAATTTTTTTTTTCTGAATTGCACTAGTTAAAAGGCATCTGCAGGCAGAGCATCACGTTCCATTGCAGCCAATAAATCAGCAATGGCAACTCTGAAAGGAAGTGCTTCTCTAGCAGAGAAACAACACCCAGGACTAGTGTCTTTTAATGTAAGCATTTGGCAGCAGCAGAAGGTAATCAGGTGGTTAATTAATGTGTATAAATCCCATGGAGATAACTTTATTTTGCTTTTATTGCTAATGTCTCTGTGCTCACTTTCATCAAAGGAGTGTAGTGATATCTAAGAGTGGCATTTCGATGCCCGAAATGCTCCTCATATAAATAGAACAAGCAGATCAGCATGACTGAGTGATAAAATTACCTTCTGATCTTCAGAAACTTCAGCATGCAACTGTGCTATAGGGACTTCAGAGTAACCCTCTTCACAGCACAAACAGATACATTTGGAAATGGATTTAAAGGAGACATACAGAGAGGGAGAGAATACAGAGGAGAAAATTACTCGAGCTGCAGCTGCTAAGTTGGTGAAAAAAGCTTTTCTTGAAGCCCTGAAGTCCAATGACTTTGAAACCCTGGAGGAGCTCTTGAGCCAAAAGAAAATAGATGTGGACACAGTGTTTGAAGTGGAAGATGAAAACCTGATTCTGGCATCCTACAAACAAGGTAAATGTGGCAGCATTCACCAGCCAGGAAGTAGAAGGGTTTGAGTGATTTTCGAGAAACTGTGGCTTTTTACCTCCTCTGAAGCTGCAGCATAAACCGATCCATAGGCAGTAATGTCTCAGTAGGGTCATATGGCCATGGTTACGGTAGTAGGGGAGCTTATCAGCTGTACCTAGTGGGTTTGATGGAAGGCAGGCCAGAGCCCAGCCTGAACCTCCATGCTTCAGGGGTGTCCAGAAAGAGGAGTCCTTTACTATTTCCTTGCAGAGAACTCAGGTGCAAAACCAAGAATAGATACATGCAGGCTAAGTGGAGTGTATACATTACTTGCATGAACCCGTACACATATACAGACTGTTCAGAAACATAAAATATTCCATGTCTTCCATTTTCAATTTACAGTAGCAGTAGAGTGAATTCTGCCTGGCTCAGGAAACCTAAGGAAATCCTGTGGACCTTGGAGGTTGCTGGATGGAAGGAGATTTATTTTTCCAACTGACAGAAAGTGAGGATGTGCTAGTTTATCAAAACAGAAAAATAATCTGGAAAAACCAGGAAAGACATCTGTTTCAGAGTGTAGAAAACCCAAACCAGTTCTCAGCCATACACTGACTGAGTTTCCAAAACCTTACAACTTAAAGCAATAAACCAAGTTTGCCGTTTGCTAAAATCAACACACTTCATGACCTACTTGCTAACAGACTCTCCGTGTGTATTTAGCAAACAGTAATGATCAGTCTCTGCCAGAAGTTAATCATATGTGGAGATAAACACCTCCAGTGCCAGCAGCACAGCAAATGCACTTTCTTTTCTGTGGCATAAAGAAGGGACAATATCCTTCCTCTACTCCTTTTCTTTGTTTACCTCTTATTTAATGATTGGCTCCTACTCTTTTGATTTCTTCAGAGTGAGGATGATGCAGTAATTATGCACTTCCCTTAGGGACAGTGTATGAACTAAGCCATACAGTGCTGAATGTATCTTAAAATACATCTTCTGTCTTCAGCAGGCTAAGATGAATTCTGGTTGTGGTTTAAGACTACAGGATTAATGCATAGATTTTTATTTGTAGATCATTTAACTGTAAGCATTAACCTGTCTCTTTTGAAGTCTCTCCTTTCTCCAAAAAGTAGAGAGGTAAATGCACAACACGGCCTAAATCAGAGCAGTTTATCCACCTTGTCTGAAAGGCAAGAGGCACTCTATCAACACTCATGTAAATTTTACTTCTGTTTTGAATAGCAGATAACTGTGACATGAAAGAGGAATTTCCTTGAGGAGGAAGAGGGGAGAAAAATTCGTCCCTACCACATCACAATTCAGGCAGTCTGAGCTTTGCCATAGCCCTAAGCGATGAAGTGGAAAATAGATGTCATGGGTGACAGAGTGTCTTTGCTTCCTCTCTTCCAAAGAGGCTGAGAGCTCTCAAAGACACTGACCTTTCTTGTACCATGGCTTTTACATGTTTCTAACCAAAGAAACAGGTAAGCTGAATGAGGTCTCCCATGGAGCCCACATCTGCTTCCCGTTCAGTGCCTGGTCTCTGTCCCTCTGAGCTCAGAGATGTCTATGGGTTTGGGCAGAGGACGTGGAAGATGCTCCTTAGGATATCGAGCACAGTTCACCTGCGGCAGCACAGGCAAAGGAAATTAACAGTAGTCTCAGGCAGGAAAACTGTGGCTATAAAAAGTGATAACTTGGCTTTTAAAGATCACTTTCCTGCTGTTAATATATAATTTATGCCTCACATCTGGCCATAAATGTGAGACCCAGCTCTGTGTGGGATAAGCTGGCAGTACTCCAAAGCTCACTGGTAACAAGGGGGAATACTGTATGTGAATTTGGATAGGGAAGTGATTTAAGAAGCTTGATCTGCTATATGCATAGACTTTGGGATGTAACCCACCTACTCTGTGCCTGGTTTGAGGGCATATAATGAAAAGGTTGCCTTACCAGAGTTGTCGGTGTAATCTGCAGAGTCAGCAGGTTGAGTGTCCTCAGAGGACACTGTCACCCTGCTTGTGCACTCTGGTGTCTCAGAGCTGCCTGTTTTTGCTAGCTATTCACAGTGTGAGTTCCTTGAGGACTGGAGTTTGGTAGTCCCCAAAATTTGGTCCTAGAGTAGATGATGTCTGCAGTTTCTTCCCCCTATCTAAAAATATATTTGCAATTTAACTAGGAGGGAAGAAAAATATTAATCAGTTTCTCCCTGTCACCAGCACTTTGTTTCCTTTTTCCTTCTTTCATCTCTTTCTTTCCTCCTCATCTTCTTTCTATCTAATACAACAACCATGAATACTGTAAAAACTGTATCTATGTGACATTAAGGTTGAAAAACTACATAAAACTAGAGTCTAAAAAAGGAAGGTTTTAATTACTTTAACTTCATTATAGATCTTGAGTATTTTTTCTATATCTTTTGCATGATAACAGATTTCAACCAGGCGGTCACAGGATCACAGAATATGCTGAGATGGAAAGGACTCACAAGGATCATTGAGTCCAACACTTAGCCCAAATGTCACACTATGTGCCTGAGAGCATCATCCAAACACTTCTTGAACTCTGTCAGGCTTGGTGCTGTGACCACTTTCCTGGGGAGCCTGTTCCAGCATCCAACCACCCTCTGGGTGAAGAACCTCTTTCTAATATTCAACCTAAACCTCCCCTGACACAACTTCAGGCCATTCCCTCAGGTCCTGTCACTGGTCACCACAGAGAAGAGATCAGTCATCCAAGGAGAAATAGATAAATCAAACCTAGAGAATTTTATAGGCACATTTTAGCTAAGATGCAGCTGCTGTATCTTAAAAAAAAAAAAAAGGAAAGAAGTTTTAGATTTCTCCTGCCCTTCTGCACATTGTTATGGTCCTTTATTTTTTTTAAGCAAATGGTTATAGTTATCACTTCAGAGACTGTATCTATGCAGTCATTAAGCATGTAGTCCTATTTTGGGAACAAGTATTTCAGTGTTATTTGGTCTTACACTTGCTTGCGAGTAAACAAAACAAAACAAAAAAATAATTGTGAAATTTTCCGAGAAAAATTCAAACATTTTTGAGCCAAATTTCATGCTAAAGTGTCACTGGTTCTATTTGGTTCTTCAACATAATTTACGTTAGCATTCAATCTTCTCCCTCCATACTCCTCAGGGGCAGTAGTTGGCAGGAGGTCTCTGACACAGCTGCAGCTACATTGCCAGGGCTCATCTATTAGCAATGCATCCCTGGAGGTCTGAATCCAGCTTCTGACATGCAAGATCCTGCTATCTCCTACGCAGAAACAGTAGGATGAATTGTCTGTTGAGTCACCGTCCTAAGTAAATGCTGCCTTCTTAGTCTAATGCCACCTTCGTTCAGCTATTGGCAGGCTGAAGATCCCATTTCCCCCATATTTTTTAGGTGGTGGCATTTCAAACCCTTTAAGAATATTTTTTTATTTAATCTACACAAGTCACAAAAAAATCTAATAGCTTATTTCAGATTGTGTCTATTCTATGGGAATCATCTCTCCAAAGGGCAGGCTATTCAGCACATATAGTAATAGTGCTTAATGAAAATGAAATTATGCCTGAGAGAATTTTGTGTGCACTAAGCTGGTGAAAATACAGTATATTACATCAAAACTCCAACCCTTCCTTCCCCTTCAATTATTCTCAGTAGGTGGATAGTCCAAAGAAAAGTGTTTGCCAAGGCCGGTAACATGTTTTCGCTTTGTACAGGGTACTGGCTGCCTAGCTACAAATTAAAAATATCCTGGGCAACTGGACTTCATCTGGCTGTCATGTATGGACATCTGGAGAGTCTTTCAGTCCTCCTCAATCACAAAGCTACAGTCAACTGCCGGCCCAATGGAAAAGCTGCGATCCACATAGCCTGTGAAATGGCAAATGTCGAGTGTCTCAAGATCCTTTGCAACCATGGAGCTAAGCTGAACTGCTTTTCAATGAGTGGGCAGGCGCCCTTGCACTTCTGTACAACACAAGCCTCCATGCCTTGTGCCCAGCAGCTGATTTGGAGAGGTAAGGTAAAGTTCATGGCATAGCCAGAGATGATGGGCATGGTCTGGGTTTTCTCTTGAGAGACAATTTCTCAAAGTACATGTGTATTTATCCCTTTCATTCACAGCTGACTTATGTCTTCATCTCAGACTCCTTTTCCCCATCTCTTTGATCTGAGAAAGTTTTTCCCATTCTATTTCCTCACACCATCTGTCTTTCCCTTTCCGTGGCCACAGATCCTTACTCCAAGATTGTTTCCCAGTTTGGTGCCTCTAGCCCACTGCCCAATCAGTCCATCAGCAGAAGAGCTCCTCTGAATCAAGGAGTTTCTATTTCTCTTGGCATTTTTTTCTGTTTTCTTCATCTAGGTTTAGTATTGAGCTATTGTCAGATGAATGGGCACTTCTCTTATTGTCTTTCTTGCTTGAATTTTCTTGATCTCAGTAAAATTCTTCTACTTGTTTTTAGATCTGGCCTTGAAAAATTGGATGCGGTTTTTCATACATCTCTTCATTTGTCAACAGCCAAACTCCTGCATCTATGCAGGGCTTGGAGAAAAAAAAGGCTATTATATAAGATTTTTGTTTTCCTGAAATCAGATATGTTACACTGATGGTTATCTGTAACAAATGAACCTATGCATAGACGTAATTCCTCCATAAATATATTTGTCAGACACTATTTGCTTAACAGAAGGATGCTGACTTGGGACGTAGTAAAAGAAACACATAAAAGATACAGCAAAATCAGGCAGTTCAAGTATTTAGTTACAAACAGAAAGACTCCCCTATTTATCACACTCTGCCATGGCAAATACAAATGCTTTTGGGCTTTTTTCTACATGTGTTGTTATTGAGGGCTTTTCCTGAGATGCAGAGCCCAAGTATGCTTTGTGGGCAAGGCAATTGTCAGTCATAAATGAATAACAACATTATTTTTCTTCTGCTGGAAAAAAATACATATTATTTTGTTTGGTAGAAAGGAAAATAAATGCTGCCACTTGTATCCTGCCCAAAGCAAACAGTCCTGACAGCAGGAGTTGAATTTGCTATGACAGAAAAGCTTAAAAATCAAATGTACTCTTATGAAACACATCATAGAATGAATGCAAGTGAAAGGATGTATTCTGTAGGCTTTCTCCACCCACCCATCCGCAACAGTATAATAGTACTTTACAAGCCACCCTTCCTCCCAAAGCACTCAGTAAACTCAAATCTCCATATGAGCTAAGTGTTGGGACTCCAAAAAAGATGGAAAAGGTCTGGAGCAGAATATGTCAGGTGTGCACATTGACACAGCAGCACTCCCCGACAGCCAAAGCCAGGGTTTCTTTTGCCCCTGGTACCAAAGTTCCCAAGATGTATCTTCCACCTGCCATTTCCACTCAGTGGTGTCACACGAGATCCATTCAGGTCATTGCTGTTTGACCCCCTCTGGCTGGGGTGACTTGCTAGCCAAGCAGTGCTGACCCCGTGTTCGGTTACCACCTCCAAACTCAAACTGCAGATGCTCTCTCAGGGACATCGAACACGACTAACACTCGACATGGCTTAATAACATTAGCACTCAAGTTTTCCAGCTCAGAGGCAGTTTCTGACTCTGCTTCCTCCCTCGCAATATTTGCACCTCGGTCTTAGTTGTGAGGGGCCGGGCCCTCCTCTCTGCTCGGCAGATGGTGCTGTTGCTTCAGCTGCAGCAGCCGCTGGGCACAAGCGCGGCCGTCGGACCCGATCCTTTCTCCTGCAGTTTTTAATTTGCAGGAAAAAGCATTTTACACAGAGATTTGGGCCTTCTGCTGCTCCCAAATAGAGTGTTCAGATAAGGTCTTCTTCCAGCTCAGGGCCAGGCTATCACATCTGAAGCTGGATCCAAGAATCTGAAGTTACTCCTTGGGGGCTTAAGAGATGAACAGTCCATGGTATTTGCATTTTCATATGTGTCATTCATGCCAGTTACCCACCGTGACCTTCTCCTTGGGAATGAGGGCTCAGTCAGAGAGATGGCCAAACGAGCATTTCATTACCTTAATTTTTTTCCCCCATCATCTTTTGCTGGCAGGAGCAAATGTGAACATAAGAACGAACAACAAAGATGAGGAGACTCCTCTGCACGTCGTTGCACGTTTGGGTGTCCCAGAGCTCGTGGCCTTTTACGTGGAACAAGGAGCACACATTGATGCTCTCAATGCCTATATGGAGACTCCCCTGGCCTGTGCAGCCTATTGGGCCCTTCACTATAAGGATCAGATATACAGCCAGGATCACCACCTCATCTGCCGGATGCTCTTAGACTATAAAGCTGAAGTGAATGCTCGTGATGAGGATTTCAAATCACCGCTCCACAAAGCTGCCTGGAACTGTGATCATGTCCTTCTGCATATGCTGCTGGAGGCAGGAGCAGAAGCAAATATCATGGATGTCAATGGCTGTGCACCCCTACAGTATATCATAAAAGTGACATCTGTGCGGCCAGCTGCTCAGCCAGACATCTGCTACCAGCTGCTACTGAATCATGGAGCAGCTAGGATATATCCTCTGCAATTCCATAAGGTTAAGGATGCCTTTGTACAGTAGTGATATGGAGAGAGGTGATGTCTTGAACAGGAATGGGATGAGAGACATAAACTTTGGGGTTTGGTGGCATCTGGATTTACTGGAGTCCTGTCAATGTCCGAAACATTGTGAGCTGACCTATTATAAGAGTGGTATGATTTAACTGAAATGAAATTACAGTTACCCATACCAGAAACCAGATGCAGATCCCATTTTTGCTCTTAACCAACCTGAAATACCAAACTCTAAATGCCGGTTCAAGCCTAATTTTTCCAGAGCAGATTCACCTTCTCATTTCAGAAAACTTATATCCCTTTGTCAAACTTGGCTTCATACAGGCTTAACTGAGTTATACAAAATGCATATTTCATGTCTCTACCAAAGATTAGAGATGAAACCACTTGATTCAGTTTGTCACATCTGACCTTTAAAAATCTATTCAAGTCTATTCAAAATTAAATACATCTCAATAAAGCTTTGGATTATTCCCAGGAAATGTGAGAATTAAAGGGAAATGCTGGCTCTGGGCTCACAGGTGACTAAAACAAAAAAAAAAATTACAAGATCTCTCCTGAAAAGTTTTTAAATGTCTGCAAAACCCAAGGAAGTGACAGAAGTACCTAACAGTCTTAATATACTAGACAGCCAAGTAAGCTTGCTGTAGTCCGGACTTATTCTCTCTCACCCAATGCCCTGAGCAACATTTTGCGGTTCCTCCACTGTAGATAGAAAGTTTTAACAAGCCAAGGAACCAGAAGCCTTTTAATAAAATGCCAAACTTTTGGTTGTGCCCTCTTGAACCCAGGATGAGTGGGCCCTGTCTGTAACAGAACAGTGCTCTCCTAGAGCTCATTTGAGAGCCAGGTCTGGGGGCTCCTCTTCCTGCCTCTGCCTTTCTACTGTTGCATGAATTGTGTGCCTCTTCCAAACCAACATTTGCCCATCTATAAAAAATGTAGGACGATATTTATCCCAGAGGGATGTTTTGCAGTTTTGTTTGTGAAATCTGGTGACTCTGTGGGACAAAATTGGGTGAATGCAAAGTGTGATTCCTTACGGGTGAGTGATAATAGACTTTGGATTTTGAGCTAAAGTTACTGGGTAGAACAATTGTCTCAGGGGCCTTGTGTGGCTTGAAAACCTTACTTCTGACCTGTGTTATCTCCTGGTCTTCTTTTATATTTTGCTGTAGCAATGCATTTTTGATTAATATGAAGGGATTTGTGTTCCTGTGCTGCATGACCTGGAGCAAGGACTCTGTGCATGGCTTTGCCTGGTGTCAAGTCACTCAGCCCAGCTATGAACAAGTTATCTCTAGATTTGGGTGCTAAAGCCCACCCCAGCTAGACTGCTCCGGAGATCTAAGCCAGTACTTCTGTATGGTATTAAACTGGGATATGCACACCTCCACTAGGGACTAGCCTGGGGTTTCTTGCTGAACTTGTGCTGAATAGTGTAGAAGGGCCTCACGTCTTTGCGTCTCCAACCTTATCCTCTCATAATTCTTCGGCTGTGTCTGTCTCAGTTCGTTGCACAGTGCCAAGCATCCAAGCTAGCCCCAGCTTCTTGGTGGTACTTATGGTCTCCATGCATCCTGCCTGCAGGTGCTACAAGCCTGTCATTCCCATCCTAGAGCTGTGGAGGTCGTTGTCAATTCCTATGAACATATCAAATCGACATCTAAGTGGAAAGCAGCCATACCTGAGGATGTCTTTGAGGTAAGCTCTCAATGATTTGTAACTGAGTAAAATCCAAGCTCATTGTTTGCGTAACTCATATCCAAACACAGGAAAGAAATAATGCTTTTGAAAGAGAAGAACATCTCAGAGGATTTGGGACTTCCCCATTTAATATCGCTCATTTGACAAAAGCATATCATTCACTGAAAAAAAAGACATATTTTTGAGAAATTTTCATTGCAACATTATCCTTTGGAGGACCCCCTGTCAGTGGTGCTGCAGAAGCTCAGATGTCCCTGTATTCAGCAAGTGAAAAGATTCTGGCTGTATTGGTGTTTCTTCAGATTTGTCTGAAGAATATATTAAAATATATTAAATATAAATATAATATAATATAATATATAATAATATATAATTTAATAATAATATATAATTTAATATAAAATATATTAAAATATATTTTTTAGGTCAGAAAATGTTTTAAAAGTGCCATATAACATGGGTATGATTATGTATCTTTAGGCTCTGTTGCATGGGTCAGGTTTCTGTGAACAGGATGGCTTAGCTGAAAATGTAAGAATTTAAATTAAAAATAAGTGATTAAAAGAGGAAAAAATGTGTCAAAAGGCAAAATTGTGGGACAAGTTACATGCTTTTACATAATTATCCCTTTAATTCAGAAATCCTCATAGTCCAAATATTCCAGTTTACAGCTAGGTTATTTGTTAATACTGGACTTTTCCAAAATTTTAAAATCAGTCCCGAAATGCAGTAATATCTGCTATACATTGTCAGTAGGTTTAGGGAACTCCATCTGTATTATAAAGAAGAATTATATTGCCAGAGAAACTGTGAGATTTTGTTGGGGTCAGATTTGTTCAGAAGAAAAAAAATCATTTTAGTGAAAACAAAATTAGAAGTTAAAGGTATTTTTTCACCTTAATAACAGCAGCAACAACAATAATAATAACAACAGTAAAAATTTTTATTCAAACAAAAATATAAATCTGAAATTTTGGGACATTCTTATTTGGAAAAGGTCACAGTTGTTCTATTTCTTTGTTGAGGTTTTAATTTTTGTTGTCAAAGCTGAACTTAACATGAAATTGAAGAAAAACTTTTGTTGACACAAATGCATACTTTACTGTACATAAAGCGTAACCTGAAAATACGTGTAACCAGGTCTATCAAGTACCAAGATTACAAAATAAGGTCAAGTCACATGTAGTCACATCTATTTACCATTTGCTTTGGGGTTTTTTGATGTTATTTGTAAGCATCTGCACTTTTCTGCTCATGGGGATGCAATTTCATATATTCTAGAAGGCCACTGGAACGATAAGACCAAAACTACTCTGCTGTTTACAGCCCCAGTGAACTCACCAGTACCACTGGCATTGTGCTGCCCCACTGCCCCGTGGTGAGGTTTAGAGGATTAACTCACCCATGTGCTCTGACCCTGGGCAACCTGCAGGGTCTGTTCAGTCCAAGACTTACACCACAGAGGAACACCCTCCTCAAAATGATGGATAAGGCATATCAAACCTGCAGACCAAACCTAAATATTTCGTCATCGTCTTTCACTTAACACTAAATATTTGAGGCAAGCATAAGAATTTCGTGCAGGCATTTTGGCTAAATGAAGTCCCTGGTTCTTGATGTGCCTTCAAGCGACAAGATGGCAGGCTGTGCTTTTGACCTTGTTCTGACAAGGGCTACATGTGGGCAGGGGAAAGGGAAGGAAGAAAAACACCCTCATTGCCCTAAAACACGTTTGTGGCTTTTTTACAGCGGCACCAGGATTTCTATGACTCTCTGTTCACCGTGTGCAGCAACTCCCCACGGTCACTCATGCATTTGTGCAGATGTGCGATTCGGGCAATCCTGTCAGAAAGGTGCCATCGGGGAGTGCCCTTGCTCTCCATCCCTCTGCCCATAAAGAAGTACTTGCTGCTGGAACCAGAAGGAATCATCTACTGAGCTGCCATAGAGCGGACACTGGTTTCTCCCTTCCCGGATCCATATGCCTGTGCAGGGTCCTGGAGCTCCAGACACAATCCTGACACAGCCCTCTGCATGTGTCCATTTGCAAGCCAGCCTGAAGCTGGGCTGGGATTTACCAGCTCTCCTTGGAGCTGCTTTCTTTCCCTATGCCAAGAAATCACAGCTGCAGCTGCAGTTTGCACTGGGGAGGCAGAGCTGGAAAGGGCCCCTGCTGCCAACACACATGGGCACGTACTGCCATGCTTTGTTTAGCCTAGCTTAAACGATGCTGCTGCTTCCTTCAGTATTTATTCCACTGCCTGCTAGATAGCGTTAGATTCAATCTGTACAACTTTTGATACTGTTTCACTATAATCTTCTTCAGCTGTCCTTTTGGGAGTAAAAGAAAGGATACTGTCAAAAAATAGGACATTTATTAGAGTCACAGAAATGTTTTCCCAGAAAGAAATGGGCAAAGTGCTTTAAATTGTGACCACAGACAGGCTTTCAGTAGTTTCTGTATATTCCTGTTGATTGAGTCTCAATTCAATGTTAATTCACTGTTCACTACACCTGTCTGTTTCTTATAAAGCTTTGTCATAATTGTATCCTTTTTAATTGTAAGAAATTTTTCCTTTATCAATCACAGTACGTAAACAGGATTGAATTGTTCAGCCCTGGAATTTTTGTACTTTGATATTCAAGCCCAGGTAGCTTTTAGCACGTGGTGTCTCTGTTTATACTCTCATTGTGACCAATGATAAATTCATACCCCGGTGTCAAGAAAGTCAGGTAGAAAAGACTTGCCCCTGCAACCTGCGCAGCTGTACTTATGCCCATCACTATATCTCTCAGGATGGTGTTGGATGTGATCTGGGAAGAATATGAATCGTTCTCTTCATTGACTATAAAATGAACCAAGCCTGCTAGCATGCTCTGCACCTCAGTTTTGGCAGCTAAGTGCAGGTGAGAGGAATCCCACTTTAACCAAAAGGTGTTTTGAAGATGAAGATATGTTTGCTGGGCTGTTACAGACCTGCCAATCCCCCTGATCTGAAGACCCTGTGCTTTTGGACCTGACAGCACTGATTTCCTTTACTTCTGGCTGAGCTGCTTTCTCCAGTCCAGAAGGATAAAATGCAGGGCAGTGACAGTTCACACAGCAAGTATCCCACAGCAAGGGCAAGTGTGTGATCTGACCTACAGCTAAACTCCATTTTTCTTCCCTTTTTTGTCAGATGCAATCCATCTGGGCTGTTTCACTTTTTTTAGAATCTGGCAATTCTGGGCTCTGTGAAGAGGGAGGGGAGCTGTGCCCACCATTGGGAGCCAGTAACTCCTGACCTCTCATTGCACCTCTGACTGTGAAGCTGTCAGTCCTCATTGCTATCACTATGTCTTTGCAAGAGAGGCCCAGCCAAACAGGAGCAGCCGAGCTGTTCAAGTGTCTCTGTGTCTCACAAAATGGCAATAAGCATTTGAAGAAATGTGCAGATTATTTAGTGTTACAAATTGCTTCTCTTTCCTTTCATCTGAGTTTTCATTAATTAAAGCTTGTATGCTGTGTTAGGAGAACATCCAATTCATGGGTCTGCCTATGTTTAGCTAGACAGCAATGAAGATTGCTATTTAGCAGTTTCCAATTCCAATAAGGAATTTCAAAGCCAACACAGACGATGAGTAAATGCTTTCTTATGTGGATAAAACTGTAATATGGGTCCCTGTACGTCAATAAACTGATGAGAGATTTCCTTACAGCTGCAGAGACATGTCTGTCAGAGACATTACAGTAGTTTACCACTACAGTAGTTTACTGGGCAGAATGATCAGCATCTGGGGCAGGTTGTCTATTGAAAAATCTGCTTGAGTTACCTCCAGGTCAATGGGATCAAATGAATTCTGCACTGAGGAAAACCAGTGAATTTGAAAGGATAAAAAAGGGTAGGTTATCTAAACCCACTGCTTTTCTAGGTGATGTATCTAAGGCATGAGGAAGAGGATTTGCCAACTGGTCAGGGTAAGAAAGCATTTGTTGCTTTCTAACAGTCTGACAATGGGGCAAGATGGGCAGTCCAGAAGAGACAGATGGAGGTACAAGATTTTATTGGGAATGTGTCCCCATGCTGGCTGCTTCTGAATTCTGCCTCTGGAAGAGAGATGTTTAAGGCAGAACAATAGCACTGTTTTCTGACCTGTCTTAGCCAGGACTCTCTTGCTGAGAGGGAAATAAAAAGGCTGTCACTAGTGTTCCTAAATTCCCTCTGATCCTCCCCTTCTGTAGCGAACATGCTTAATTTTTATTCTGTGGGCACCCAGGCTCACTTCCAAGCTTTGTACCAAGCAGGTGCCAGATTATAGCCATTGTGGTATCTGACAGAGAGCACAGTGGGATCAGTCTGATTATAGTCATAGGAATTTGCAAGCTGTTAAAAACACTGGAGAATATCCCAGTCACAGAAAAAAATGTCCAGATTGATGCACTTTAATTGCTTCTATTGTTGAAGTTAGGAAGACCAAGAGTAAGCAAACCTTAGTATTTGTTAGTATTTTTAGCATTTTTTTTCCTCAATTGCTGTACTCTATTCCTACACACCAGATGGAGTAGCTCATGGGAGGAGTGGGAATACCTGATATTAAGATCATCTTTTATTAAATTCATGGGATACACAGTCTTATTATTATGACTTAGTGGAGTTGTCTTGAAATTTCATACTGCCATATAATTTCTGATCATGCTTTTATGTTTTCAAAGCTGCATCAGACTGGATGGTTGCACATGGAAATAATGAGAGACCTCTACACCACATGTTTGAGCACAGTCATGACCTAAAAGGACAGAAAGATGTTTTCAGGGTTTTTTGGTATCTTCTGTGAAATGAGAAGATTGCTTTTTGCCATTGGGCTTCCCAGTAGAGATGTAGCCATGTTTGAAACATTTCCACTGCATTCCACAGCCTATTAGAATATTTAAAGCACAGATGGGCACAAAGAATGAACTACACTTCCTATTGGCAGCTCTTTCCCACAGCTCCCTTAATGACTTCTCAATGGATAACACTGAGATTCTAGGGTTTGGTTCTCATGCTTTTTTGGGAGTGTTCTCAAGCCGCATGCATTGCGGACAAAAAAAGTTACCCCTTCTATGACTGTAGGGACACTCTGAGTGTGTTTGTGGGCCAGTGCAAAGCCATAACTCAGCTGCTCATGGAAATATGGACATCCTCTTTGTAAAGTGCTCTTGCAATAATTTTAAACTTAGTTCCTGATGCCCTATTGGATTCGGGTTGACTCAAAACTCCAATAATTTGTTTGTGGAGAGTCCCTAAGTGAAACTGAAGTCTAACAGCATTCAGGACTGTATTTCCCTGCAAAAGCTTTAAATGTCTATTCATACTTAAAATAGAGTAGATACTGGGACAATGAGTCCAAAAGAGGTTGGCTGATTTAGCTCTCCAACATTGCTGCCTGTCCTGCCAACAAGAAGAGGATCCAGAGCCTGCAGAGCATCATCTCAGGACATTGGAAGAGAAAGCAGTAAATGTTGACCAGTTCCCGCTCAGCCTTCAGCCAACATTTTTAAAACTTTCACTATTTGTCCTTGAGACAGTCTAGTTTCCCAGTGCTGCTGTTGGCAGCGGAATTAAGACCAGAAGGTTGCACAAGGCTTAAAGATGTGCTAAGTAGGTCTTCTCTCCAGAAAGGGTGCTTTGGATAAGTATCAACAGCTGTTCCGCATACAGTGGTCCTAGAACATGATACCGGTTTTGTCGATATGTTCATTACCGGTACTTAAAAATCAGTGTCACCCACCTCTACTCCAAAAACAAGCTTCCTGATCAGAATGGCTGAATGGTAGCAATACTCAGCCTCAGGACCTTCAGCACAAGGGGATGCTGCTTCCACATCCCTTGCTTTTCTCATAATGGACTGCATGAATATGAGTTTGCCTTATAAAGAGGAAAAGGTTCAAAGCCCAAAGCAAAATATAGGGCATTAGGCCACCTGGCACAGGCAGCCAGGACTTCATGTCTTTCTGTCCTTAGCATTTGCAAAGCCAGCAGAGAAAGGGGTTGGGTTGTCTGTGTCCCTTTTCATGCTGTTATATGGCATTGTCACTAGGGCTCTGTGGAGGATGATGAGGCTGTCTGCATCGTCTTGTAAGGATTTGGACCAAACCTCGTGACTACATGAAAGCAGAATGGTGTTGAAATACCTGTTTTGATTCTGGCAGCTCTCCATGGGTCTGTGCACACATTGGCAGGTGTGAGGAGACCTGCAGAGATCCCAGTCAAAATCTTGGACCTGGTTTCAGTTGGAGTTTTCAACACAAATCAAGCTGAAACAAATAAGTTCCCATAAGTGTTTTGGCATCAATGAAATTTTACTTATTCACAGACACTTACCATCTTGAAAAAGCATCTCCTATCTTTCCATGGGGCAATATCTTACAGCATATACACCAGTTTTGACAGAATCAAGTTAACTGTTGTGAACATGAATTTATACAAATCTCCCAGGCTGAGCAAGACTGACTGTTTTTGTAAAATGCCAGGAACAAAAATATTAAGCAGCAGGGGAAAATTTCTGGTTGGACATGAAAGGTGGCAGCTTTACTTTTAGCTTCCAGCACTGCTGGATCTATTAAAATGTTCACAGGGACTCAGCTCATTCGTATTTGAGGAACGTCCTTTGAAAGCACACTAATGCTTCTGGCAGCAGATTTTGCTCATGGGACAAATACCTTTAAATTAAACATACAAGAGTTCAGTCTTCAAGATTGAAAGGAAGATTGAAACAGTTTGGGGTGGCCTATGCTATTATGTACCTTTATTAAACTCTGAGAAGCCAAAGAGGCATGACAGGTTTTCAAGGTGCTGGAAGGTTTGCAGGGCTCTTGAAGGGCTGCTGTTGCTTTTCTGAAACACTACAAGATACAGATGGGTCAGATGCAGCAATATTTCCATTTACTTTCAGGATATGGCAGTAGAATTTCCCTG